GCCCCCCCCCCCCGGGGTGGGGCCAGCCGCAGGCAGGGCTAGCCAAGCTAGCTCCAAAAGAGCTCTTTTTCTGAGCAGCAAAGCTAAACAACCGGGAGGACAGCTCAGAAAATGAAGTGGCTTGAAAGCCTGCAGAATTCAAGCCGGGGTCCGTGCTCAGCGCTGCACCGTGCCAAAGCACCTGTATCGTCCAGTATCACACAGAGCATGAAGTAATGCAGCGGCACCGCAGGAAACCTGCAATCTGAGCACGGATTTAGCACTCAGGTCCAGCTTAGCGCCACCGTCTCAAGCTGCCTTCTTCCCCAAAGCCAAGAGGCGACAAGAATAACTCAGCCGGCTTCCTGCGATCTCCCCCCTCCACCCACAAAAAAACTGAGCTGCTTCTCCTGCCCACTCCCCTTTAATCAGAATAATTACTTGTTTTTCTTTAAACTCAGATTTGGCTACATTTAGTAAAATTTCCAAACTGCCGGATGTTGTGTGATTTTTGCTAGGCTGCCGTTTTTCACAAAGTATGTGACTTTGCCATGAAACGTCTCAGTTTACCATACAAATTTTGTGCAGAACAAAAATAAGATCTTTTACTTCTGTCTCCCTTGGGTAATATGCAGTCTTTAGTTTTAATTACCGTAGGTGTAACTCTCCGCCTACAGAGGCCATCCAGTTTAAAGGGAATTTTAGCAGCTGTCATTCCTGTGACTCAGTGGATCTGCACATGCAGACACCCAGCCAGGGCCTGGGCTGCTGCCGTCGAGATGCACTTAAATGTAGCAACAAACAGAAAAAAAAAAAAAAAAAAAGTCTGGCCAAATTTAGAAGGGTATTTTCCTCCCAAAGTGCTCTGCAAGGAGAAGTGGCTAGTGAGAATTTATTAGGACAACAGATGCATTAATTTTATTTTGAATTTCGAGGCAAGAATTGGAAATGAGGATATCCTACTAGGTGATAAAACTGTCTGTCACAAGACCCCTGATTACATGTCACTTGCAGAGCGCCTGGAAAACACGCGATGAAAGAAGTCGGTGGAAGGGGGTGGGAGACTAATGCTTTCTAGAGCTCAGCGGCTTGGACCATCACACTTTGTTGTATTTGTTCAGACAGCGAAAACGTGGGAGGTGGTGCAAGCATGCTGTAACAAGAGAGAGTTTCTCTATTTATCGTTGCAAACACCAAACACGGCAAATCACATTACTACTGCAGGGAAGGGAGACTTTCTAAGCCCAGTGCCAAAGGGGTCAGGGCTGTCCCTCAGCCTCCTCTTGCGGCCGGTGCTGCCCAGTGGCTCCCAGCAAACAAGGGGGCCACAGCAAGAGACATCCCTTGCCCAGAAAGGAGCAATCCTGGTCCTCTAAAATGCACCCAGTCTCCTTGCTGGGGGTGAGGGCTCAGCACCTTCCTGGGGATGTGCAGACGCCACGACTCTCCAGCACAGTAACTATCTGGGTGCACATCCCCTCCCGGCTGGAAACTCAGGAAACTGAAGCTGTGGGGCCAGGCTCAGAGGCTGCGGGGCTGTCAGAGCGGGACAGACCTTTTTGCTGCTGCTGGGGCAGTTCATTGTCAGTAAGTGTCCGAGGAGCAGCAGGGTGAGGACGCCTGACTCCCATGCACCTACATGCTGCGTCATCAAGGGCACCCAGACCTGGAGCACGGCCCGGGGGTTCACTCCGCAATCGAAGGGAGCAGCACTCGGCAGCGTAAACAGTAGGATGTGGGAGCAACGCAGCATCAGCCGAGGAACAGCTTGGATTCACGGAGAAGGAAGGGCTGCACGTTACACTGTCTACCCGGGCTGATGCTGGTACTTCCGATGCCTGAAAAGCTGCCGCCTCCACATCCTCTGCTGCTGGCACGCGAGCATCTCCTAACTCTCCGCAGCACTGGAAGGAGGGAAGGTATCCACCCCAAGCCATCCCCTGCATCCCCCTGAGCTGGGGCGAGCACAGCCCCGGGGCTGTAACCACACCAGAGTTATCCTGGGAGAAGAGCTGCACTGCGGGGCAGCGGGTGGGACACCCTCCCTTCCGCTCCTTCTCCAGCACATCTGAAAACCTGGGACACTTAGTTTGCAGCAGTTTAGATAAGCTGCCAGATTTTGATTGCACACAGCTGCCTCTGGGCAGAGTTTCTTGCCTTACCTGGTGAGTCTTCCTACATCCATCCCCACTTCCAAACAGATCCTACAAAACTACCTCAAACTCAGCAAAAAGGGCCCAGGAATAGCAAAGAACTGACAATTATGAGTAGCTAAGACAACTCCTGAATGAGATTTTGGAGAGCATTTCCAGTTTGCAGAGCAGCGCCTTCTGCCTCCTGCCCAGTGTCCGTGAACACGTGAGTGCAGGACAGGCTGCGCAGGCGGGCAGCGGGTGAAAATGTTACCGCGACTTTCCAAGCAACCCCAGACGCATGCGTTTGGGTGCACACCTGTCTGTGAGCCGAGCTAAGAGAAGCCACGCTTGCAAACAGACGCTCTTGTAAACTTTCTGGCACGCCTTTTCAGAAGACCTTTGGAAATCAGCTGCTATGTGTTTGTCCTAAGAAGCTGTCACAACACTGTTCTGGAATACAGCTCAGATTGCTAAACCCTTGTGGATACTGAGGCCAATTTTGTATGGATATGGTTCTTGTCCTGTACCTTTCTAGGAAATACGTAATGTGATGAGCTGTGGATTGGTTCTGCAATGTTAGGGAGAAACGTGGCGTGAGAAGCACATTGTGCTGCGTAACCTCATGGCATTTCTCCCTACCTTGTTCTCTTTTAGAAACACAAAGGCATTCCCTGGATCTCCCTTCTTTTGTTTTTTACTGCTTAAGATGGTCACTGTTACGGCCAGGAGAATGAAAGGAACATGCCCGTCATGTAAGGTGGCAATGAAGCAACTCCTTTGGTTAGGGAAATTGTGTGTACAGCGCAATGATTTTTTTCAACTTCATATGCATCCTCAACAGAATAAACTCCACCAGCCTGAGCGATGACTGGAGATGCTTTACTCTGTGCTACAATACGATGGCCTATGCTTCTTGGGTGTTTAAGTGTATCTGCATACGGGTTGTCTGTTCATGTGGGAGTTACAGTGCTCAAACAACACAGAATGGCAGAATTATTACTAGCTGATCTAGTCCTGGGAGAGCAGGAGATTACAACTCAGAAAAAAAAAAAAAAGAAGAAAGGAAAATATTGTCTCTACTTACAGTAAATGACAGGAAAGAAGAAAACAAAGTTCCTTCATCGTATCTAGACAGTTTGGCCAAGACTCCTTCCAAAATGGTGACAAACTAAGAAGACAAAAAATATTGCAATTATTTTTAATAATTGAACAAGGGTGTAAAAATCAGCATCAGCTTCAAAGAAGCCAGTGGAGCTCTCAGCATTGCCAAAGGAACGGACAATCTGTCCCTGAGCCCAGCAGGCCGAGGAGCAGAGAGAAAGGACCACTGCCTTTTGGGTGCTGCATGGTCCACCTCTCGCTGGGTGGGAATCACCCCTCAGTGTCATGGGTGATGTGGGGGACAGGAGGTGGGTGCAGCGTGTGGGGAAGCCAGCACAGCCTCTCCGGGTGGGGAAGCCGGTGGTTCTTGCTCCCAGTACGCAGTGTCAAGCACACAGTTAGCTGGGTATTCTTGCAGGAGAATCGAACTGGCATATGTTGGTGGATTATGTTTAAAGGTCTCCACTGTATAATAGGGATGACTTGTTCTCAGAAAGTTTGAAACTAGAGGAAAACACACCCCACCATCTTTCTCCCTACGTACCAGCTCCCCTCTGTGTTAGCGCAGCACACCAGACCTACACAACAACCCAAGGGAAATGCTGGCAGCTGAGCTAGAGGAGCCGACTCTGGTGAAAAACAATTTCCAAACAATTAAACCTGACATTTTGGAGTGTATTTCCCACTACTGTCACCTCTAAATTAATTTCTTAGAAGAGCATATGGTGATCTTGCACAAGATAAGTTATTTTGTCCGCACAACCTTACGCGTAGGAGTGGTGACCACCTCCGTGTGCCACCCCAACGTCTACGCAGCAGCATTTAGCAGTGCCACCCCCTGACTGCAGCTACCCCCAGTGCCGTGGGGTGATGCTGACCACGGGGTGTTACCCCATCAACATAACAGCCATTCCTTAAAACCACTTCTGGCCCAGTATGGCAATCCTGCTAGCAGCCTATTACATCTCACGCAGCTCCTAATCATCAAAGAGTCACCATGAAAGGACTGGGAGATGTATGATCTTGCCTGTGAGAAACAAGAAGCCAATTCAACATCTTAATGTGTCACATTTTAATGGAAACGCACATATTAAAAACGCAATGTTAACAGTGAATCACTTCACCTGAAGCCGAAGGTTACCTTTGCCACTAGGAGTGTTATCATTTCTTTGACGGTTTCCTCAATTAGTTCATCTATTTTTGAATGGTACTGGTGCTAAAGAAAAACAAAAGGAGAAGGGGAGGAAAATATTAGCATTGATCACTGGCAAGAGCTCTACAGTTGTCTGCCTCTTCCCTTGGTAAATCACAATATGCAGCATTAAACTGAAGAATTATGCAGCTTATTACCCTGTGCTCCACTACAGTGGCCGGTGATGACTTACACCTGTAGGAGAGACCTTGAATTCAGGAGAACCTTACCTCAGTTTGTAAAGCATGGGCAAACCCTGCCCTCTTCTGTGTGCCCGCAGCTCGGGAGCCACACGCACACGTCGGAGGGGAAGCTTTGCCGTGCCTGAGAGCACCAACACCCGGTGCTCCTAGACACCCCGAAGTCCTTTTGCTTCAGTTCTGCGGGCACTATCCTGCTCATTTTGCACGAGTCGCACTCGACAATGAGATACGCCTGTCACCGGAGGGAAACGGGCAGCCCTCGCCTAGGGCACCGCAAACCCCACAGCCCTCGGAAGGGGAGCGGGGAGGATTGGCTGCACCGGGGGAGCTTGCAATGGGTTGAGCCACTGGGGATGACGTTGCACCCTTCCCATCTACTGCAGCAAAGCACTGGAACCTGTGTTACACACTGGGCTCAGCGGGCACATGGCTCAAATTAAGCGCTCCTTGAAACGCTTTGCTCAGTGACTATAGTACAGATTGAAAAAACACCCGACAAAGCAAGATGGGTCTTTCTGTCCCGTGCAAAAGCCAGCAGGCAGCACAGCCCCGAGCCCTGGCTGTTAGCAGATCCTGCGGCACGAGCTCAGAACCGGCTGACCAACGCCAGCACCTGCAGCATCTCCGGTTCTGAGTCTTCAACCGAATTTCTGCACATGCCAAACCTTGCTTAGCTTGGGAGCTCTGATGCAATCAGCTGCAATATGGCTAGAATAGGTACTAAAATACAGTCTTCTACTAATTTAGAAAAGACCTGTTTCCAATACAAGATTTAATTAGTGAAAACATACAGTATATTCTTATTTTCAATGGACTGAGAAAATACTGATTATGACTGCTTTCCAACACAAAACATTTGATTTTTCAGTCAAACATTTCAAGCACTGGTGCTAGTCACTATATTCATTACCACTTGGCATTAATATTGTTTTAAAATGTTAACATCAAATCACATTGAAAGAGACAAATCTGCTTTAAATACTAATCAGACTTTGTGAAGGAAGACTGCGAGGGCTTTACAAATGCTAAATGTTGGTCTCAGTGTCTGATCTGCTCTACAGTTTGGGGATCTTTTTCTATGACAGTAACGTATTAAAACAAGAATTTGGAAAAAATAAAATAAAAGTAGGACAGACTTACCCACTCTTTAGCAAACTTTTCAGATGATTTGGGACAGAAATAAAGAGGAAAGTGCAAAAGACAGGAAAAAGAACATATGAAGATAAACAATAAATAAACCAAAATCTTTAAAAAAAAGGGGGGCATATGAGAACAGCAGCATCATGCACAGAAACAATAAGCAATGGAAAATGAAACGTGATCAACATCTCCTTTCAGTGAAATATCAGAGATCGCTACCTGTAGTATTTGCAGGCAGTAAAACAGGGGGAAGGGACCGGATTGTACCTAACTGCTGACGGTCTCTTATGGTTTTATTTCGCTTCGAAGAGGAAGGCAACCGGCTGTCGACAGGCAGGGTTCAGCGTTGAGGCAGCTGCACACCCTTGGCCAGGGATGGATGCGCCTTGGGGTGAGCCCTGCTGCAGGGGCAGGGCAGGCAGGGCAGGCAGGGTGGGCAGGGCAGGCAGGGAGGGCGGGCAGGCAGGGGTACATGGTGCAGCACATCCCGGCCACAGTCCTGTCTGGGGCCACTCAGAGCCTCACCCACGCAGGAGGACAGGCTGGCACCACCGTGCCACAGGCTGCAGTCTGCCGGGCCCACCCAGAGGAACAAACCACATGTGAACAAGCAAGTGATATTTGCATTTCCCATTTCTGTGTCCTGCTTTGCAGGTCAAGACATATACGAGTCCCTTCTAGGGATCAGATTACGATGAATCTGTTTAACGCAGAGTTAGGCCTTATCAGCTCCCAGGATCGACCTGGCTGCTCCCAGCACAGCTGGAGATGCAGCTGCGGGGTGACAGGGACCTGTACCAGCTGGATGGAGCTGCTGATGTCCTCAGCGTACACAGCCAGGATCTCCTAAGGGAGGTGAAGAAGGGGTTGTGCACACATTGCCGGTGTCCTCCCCATGATGTTTTCCTGCTGCTGCTGCATTTTCTGTGTGTGTGGAAGATCTTGCAACCAAGGATTTAGCTAACTACTTTAATTGGGTAAAACATGAGTTTTAACTCAAAAATGGCTAGCTACATGCAAAGCAGTACACTGTGAAATGCACTGACCGATGGATTTTGCAATTAAAAGCTTGTTTTAAAAGCAATTAAGAGCCCTGATGGAATAAAACCGCAGCTCTGAGAGCAGGAGAGGACCCTGTGCACGGACCAAGGTAGGGCTCTGACCGCTCATTCCCATTGCGGCTGCCGTCCCTCGGGCAGACTCAAACCTGGTGCCAGGGACCACGCAGAATAGGGCCCGTGAGGCTGTGGTCCTGCCCTGAGCAGGCGCAGTGATGTGCACGCTGCGCCCCGGTGCCGCAGCCCCAGCTCCACCTTGGGAAGACGAACCCCGGCCAGGACGGGGTCGGAGAAGGCGGCGGTTTGGAAAACGACTGCCTGGTGCTGCTTTCACAGACGCCTGGCTTGTAAACCAGCGTTTCTAGCAGCTCCTTCTACATTTCTTATGAAAACACTCGAGGTTAAAGATCGCATAACTGGTTTGCTTTACCCAGCGTAGCCCCTGCTTTCGATCGAGTTCATCGCAGCTCTCTATTAGCTCAATTATTACAATCCATAATCAGTGCACTACAATGATTCAACTTGACTTTATGTGATGAGTATCTTGCCTTGTCATGTAACAGATTGTGTGTACGTTGTATTTCTCTAAGGACCATCTGACCTTAGATATTAAATAGAAACATACTAGACCAACTGAGAAACATTTAATACATACATTTATCCCCTTAGATGTATTAAAAATTCAGAGGAAAAATAAATATTTAAGATGGTAAAGTATGTTTACCAAATGTTTTAACAGCTGCCTTTAGAGACAAGGAAATGGAAATGAAATGATGGGTGTTTGTTTCACGGGGAAATGCTTGCAAAATGCATTCAAGTATCTGTTCAAGCGAGGGTAACTGAGGGTGGTCTTAAAGGGAAGGGCTTTGGGGTGGGGGGAACCCGTAGGAGCGAGGTCACATAACGTCTCGAGAGTCTCTGCCCATGTACAGCTTGCACCATCAGAAAAATCAGTGGTTTGTTTCGAACAAAAACGTCTTCTCCAGTTAGGTCTGGGCAAAGCCCCTGCCTGAACACCGCGGTGGGCAACGTGAGCCCTTCTTGCCGCTTTTGAACTGTCTGCAAAGGGACCATGCGGTTTTGCAGCCACGCGGCAGCCGCGGCAGTGGTGGGGATGGGGGGACAGAGGCACTCCACGATGCACAGACCCGGCTCCCCAAATTATGGAGGAAGACACAGGTTCAAAACTCGGTTTCTCATCCTTCCGCTGCCTATCCGACTGTCTCATCATTTCCACTGGGGACTGGAAGAGGTGGGCTGGCATTCTGTCCTTCCCTCACGGGCTGCAACGACAGATCTATACCTTAACCTCTACCCCCCCCAGCATGACCCTCTCAGTGGACAGGTTTAGACAGCTTCGAGAGGAGGAGATGGAGGTGGCAGAAATACGGAGTGGCATGAGCGAATGGAGGGGGAGGTAGGAACACTCATGAAAAGGAAGAAAAGAAAAAAGGCGGGTGTATAAAATTCTGCAGCCCTAAATGGTAACTTATGCACTGATAATTTACATCTGCTTTACAGGTCTGTTAGTTCAGCTATCTGTTAAAAACCTCATGCCCCAGCAACTGCTGCTTGCCACAGGAGTCAGGCTGTCTCCGAGCTGCCGTACCGAACACCTTCTTGAAGCGGCACAGGCAGATTTGCAGAGCTAATCCCCGCTGCAGCTGAGAATGGCGGAGAAACAACCGCGCTGCCGCCCGCTCCCCTCTCACTTGCAGTTTGACTCAGGCCGAATGTGCAACGTGACGGACGCTCAAAAATTGAAGGAAACTGTGGCAAGCACAGAGCATCACAAGTTAGCAGGGAGAGATGCAGCGGGTGCCCGGTCACACTATATCCAGATGCAGCTGATGGTACCAGCCTCGTGCCATCTCAATACTTAACCTGACAGCTTTATGAATGCAATGATCTTGCTCTGTCATGGTATCAGGGTCTGCTTGATCTCTAAAATGTCCCTGTCCCCTGGGACTGTGCTAGTATAATGCACAAGGGTTTGATCCTGGTTTTCCATGGGGAGCATTGCAACCATGGCCCTTCCTGGCTGATGCCAGGGCAGATGTTGCAGCAGCTGCAGGCTGAGGGATTTGGGGAGATAAATGGGTATGAATATGGAGCAGAAAATGGTAGAGAGGTTCATGTCCACGCTTGGACAACAAAAACCCACTCAAGGTCTGGCTCTGCTGAGCTGGAAGATGAGGGAAGAACCTGATGATGTGCAGTATGAAATGTTTCTTGCAAGGCAACTGTCACAAATAACACGTCACAACTGAAACATATAAAAAAATAAGAAGAGCAGATGAGTTTGATCCAAACACCACTGGGACAAGGATCCTTGCTGCATCCAGTGGCCTTTGGAGCAAGTCCTCCCAGAGGAACAGGGTGAGGTAAACAACTAAAAAACTCCAAAAAACTTGCAACGATTCACTGCAAAATCTGACCATGGAAAGTTGTAGTGAAAGGGCTTATCCAGGAAATGCTGACAAGCAGCACGATAGGAGAGCCAAACAGTATTTGTGCATTTATTCTAGACTGGTACAGGAATATTTAATTTGGCTTGAAGCCACTGTAGCAAAATGATCATTATGATGCATTTAACCTAGTCCAAGTTGCCGTGTCTTTCTAATTCATAGATCAATCCACAGAAACTTCAACCTGCAACTATGGCTTCAGAAGAAAAAAAATAATCTGCAATTAATTAAAACAGGTTTGTTGTTTGGAAACTTGAGTCATTAAGAACCTGGAAATCCAGCATCATCAAGTGTGCTGATTATAGCCAATATTCAAGGAAGTCACAGCAGCTGGAATTTCAATCTACTTTTGGAAGTTAACTATTTTGGTGTTTTGGTTTTTGTGGGTTTTTTTCTTTTTTTTTCTTACAAGCATCACAGCAACAACTTGGCACTTCTGTTTTCCTTATCTACAGAAAAGTCACCTACAGAAAGTGTGTTGCTGACACCTGGCTCCAAGGTGCAGTTAATGACTCAATATATATGATGATCATGTATCAACCAAGCTAAGAGATACCTTACGCACACCACAGTCCTTGCAAAAAGTCACTCCTCAGTGACAAGGATTCCGAATGTTTATATTAATTAGATTTATTTGAGAGCAACCCCCTGCAGATTCATCTGTACACTCTATATGGAAGGCTAAATCCACAACTGATATAATGCCTCTGAAACTAGCACAACAGGAGATAGGAAATGTCATGAAATTGCCTTTAAAAGCTGTGAAAGGAAGAACCTGAATTTTTACCTCTTGGCCCATTTCCATACTGCAAAGCTTTGTTGACTGAGCTTTGGCATCCACCATGACATTAAACATGGTGCATATTGATTGAGGGACTCGGAAATCTGTTGATCGGCTGGTTTTTTGCAGCTTTACTTCAAATGCAATCCTGGTTCTGTTAAGGAAAAGAGAAAAAGATATTTCAGTTGCTTTTAAATAATAATAATGTGAAACAATATTGAGAAGCGTTCAACAAACCAGAAAGCTGAATGCTGCTGGGAGCATTATAGTGCAATTGCTACAAATGTGCTTTTACTAAAAATGATTTTCCAGTTTAAAAGGAAACCTACTTTCCAGAATACACACTATTTATAAAGTGTGCAACGGTTTCAGGGAAACTATGACTTTCTCATGCTTGATAAACAGTGTGATGATGTTACAAACAGCAGTGCCAATGTACACCTATAATTTGGTTGCATTAGTTGATTTATAACCACAGACAAGTAGCAAACCTGATGCATTAAGGGATGCTCCCATTGCTCCATGATATCAACTGCAAATAACAGAAACTTGTTCATTGCTTGACTGAAAGGACATTGCGAGATCTTTGCATTTTTAGGTCTACACGATTGTATTTGCTTGCTGAAAGTTCCTAATTGTCTCACAAGTTCATAGAAGTGGTTTCCCTGAGGCATACGTACTCACCAGGGTACGTCTGCACAATGTGCACGGGCACAGTCGTGCACGTATGAACACACGCACACGCATCGCACGAGCCCGCACCTCTCTGCTCTCCCGGAGTTTCACTGAGCTCAAATTTGATATCCCTGGCAGTTACAAACCGTGTTACACCAAGAGCTTTCCTGGGCCAAAGACTACAGGATTTGATCCTGTGTCGTATTTTAAAACACCAAGGCATTTGTGACTCTGACATGGAGAACACTTGCAGTCTGGTGGGCACTGCCTTGCCTTTCTTTGGAGCCCCTCCGCAGATTCCTGAGGTACTTCACTAATCTAACCTAACACTGAACAATTATCACATCACACAGAATCTGCCAACAAATTAACATAGGAGCTTCAATTTAGAAATAACAAATAATATCAGCTGCAGCTCAGGAATAACTCTGATCTTGAAAGATCCCCCAAGGGTTATGCAAATGAAAACTCATTTACAAATGTGAAACTCCCGTTCTTCGGATGAGATCTGAGCTGGTACATAGGTCCTCCTGCCCTGATTTATTAGCAAAACAGGCCTTCCTTGCAAGGGCTGCTTTCCTGACAGCACCGAAATACAACCGAGTGCGGAAGGCGGGGTGGCTCCTCCATGGTATTCAACAGTTCAGAGACAGACGCGAAGAAAAATGTTGTGTCAAACTGAAATTGCTAAAGAAACCTTAGCCAGGCCCTGTTTGCAGGTGATATAAATAGGGAAGGCAGCATATTGGTTTACATCAGCAGTGGCATTTGAACTGATTTAATTACCAGTGCCAGATTTAGCCTGGACTCGGGGACTAGAATCTTGATAATTACTGAAAGGACCCAAAGTGACTGGGATTTTCCATCTCCTCGCAGAGATGAGCATGCTCCTACTTACTTATGCTCAGAACCATTATATATAGTCTTACCATTACAAGCTGGGCCAGGTTTTTACAGAGGGGCAACATATTTGTAGAAAGGTTGAAGAAGTTGGGGAAAAAACCCCGGCTTTCAGGCACACAAGCCCTTCCTCAGACATACCTGGAAACTTGCTTGTTTTTCCCAGTTAGCTCAGCTCAGCTCACCTGCTCTGATTTCTATAGATCATCGCAGCGATAACCTGCACTGCAGGTGTAACAAAGGTGCCTTGGTTCCAATTTAAAAAAGAAAAGAAAAAAAAAAAAAAAGCAAAAAGAAGGGTTTTGCTGTTGGTGCTGGGGGCAGAGCAGAGAGCAGAGCTCCAGCACTGGGTTTGCTCCTAAAGGGTGGTCTGACCACTGGACGACAACTGAAATTCAGCGTTCGTGCCAGCCAAAGGACCAGAGACAAGCAGGTGCAATAAAGAGGGACTTGCTCAATGCCAAAGACATCACGACTGTCTCATTGCACTTAAAATGCATCGGGGTTTATTCCAGAACAGTGCGAGAGCAAGCCTCGAGCTGTCTGCCTTCCAGTGGGTGAGTCTCCTGCCTACATCTCAGGGACCGAACGTGCCCTCTCCTACGGTGACATTGCACAGCCAGACTGTGAGGAACATGCGAACAACAAATGCCACGCTCACGCTTGCAGAGTGGCCAGGCAATTGTGGTACAGAACAGCCACATCACACATTGCAGCTAATATTAGCATGTACCAGCTATATTTGGCACCCATTTTTCCTTTGGTTCATCTCTTTGTCTATTAATTTCTGCACAATGGAATGCAAAGTTCATTTCCTCCTCCTGCCTAATCACCTTTGATGCCAAATAAATGACTGTGGAAAGGCTGGAAGTTTAGTCTTAACATTTTGCTTTCAGAATGACAGCTGTCTGTGTGTTTAAAAGTTTTTTAAGGAAACCTCTCTGTTTTGGAAGATCTGCAGGTGAGTATCCTATAATGTGGCTGATGATACAACAGCTTTTCTCAATTGACAGCAGATGTGAAGGCTGTGTGCCAAGCTACTCAATATCCCCTTTCTGGGATCACTTTTTTGCTTGTTTTTTCATGGATCTGTGTTTTTTAGGTGGGTGCTGGGATCTTACTTAGGGCTGTGCCTTCAGCACTCAACCCCGTCGACACCAAACTGCATTTACAAAGACTTGCCCTCACGTGCGGCACCAAAAGTAAGTAACTGCCTATAAAGCTCGAAAGAATGGGTGGTTTATTGTTTTACTTTGAATATGCACTCTCTAGAGTCTCACCAGAGAAGTGCTTGCTTGGGACAGTCCACAGTTCACAGCAATAGGGTGGCTTTCCACCAGCATGTGCTGGGTAGAGGTGAGCTGGCATCACTAAAAAATGGTGGTTGAAGTGAAGCTTCATTGATAATAAGGCAGAAAAAAAGTTGCATCCGGTGAGCTTCTATGAGAAACATGACTAGTTCGCTGTGGGCACGTACCTCTTCACGCAGGACTCGATCATGTCACTCGCCATAAGCTTCAAGCGTTGCTCTAAGTGTTTTCCAAACTCCTCCTCAGGCCAGTGTAAATCCCGAATGAAGGTCTGTAGGGCATCAAGTTTCCAGAACAGATCTTCCGAGGTGCCTGATCCATTGCTGGCAGGGCAAAATGAGAACAAAAGTCATAAGTGGCATCAGGCCTTTTGTAACCTGATGTGGAGACCATTCCTGCAACAAGTGTAGAGCAGACAGTAGTTTCATACACAGGACAACGCTGGCAATCTCCACCATCAGGATTTTGAGTTTTACCATACAGTTGCCTAATCTACCTTGCTATCATAGCCCACAAAACTTTCCAGACCAGATGAGTAAGACAACATTATGAGTTACACATATTAACAGGAAGAATGTGTGTATGGTAAAAATCAGCCTTAGTTAATAACCACATTAACGTATGTGATTATTAAGAATTAAGGCTAGAAATTGCGGTAGAAAATCCTTGATCAATAATAACTGCCATACTAGACTGTACGCAGTTATTAAGATTTAGGGTTTCATGCAATTCTCCCCCCCTCTGAATTATACCTTGAGGTTGCCTCGTCCCCCCCAGTGAGGCCCCCGTTTCCATGTAAGGGACAGTGCTAACAAGTGGTGAGCGAGGACACGCTTTATCTCTTGAACAGCTGGAAAAAAATCAGGGTAAATCGATCGAGCTAAGGGCACTAGACACCTCATATCCAGGAGTTTTGGCAGGATTGACTGCTGCACCTTTTCACAGATCTGCCTCTTGCAAAGGCATCTATAGGACAACAAATTTTCATTTTTTAAAAAATTTATTTTGCAATGTCTTTGGTCTGTCACAAAACTCTGAATTTCTCTCCCAAGCGTATGTTCTTATACCCACACCCCTGCCCAGATGGAAGTCTTTGGTCCTGCAGTGTGTAGCTACACCGGCTCTTTTCACAGTATAATTATATCTCAAACCTCCACTTACAGAATAAAAATACAGAACTGGATTGTGCTCTGTTTGTGCAGAGAAATTTATGCATCCATAACCCTTTTCTCTCCCTCTCTCCTTCTTCCCTCGCTTTTTTTCAGAACAATTACCAAGGGAGCTTCAAGAGTTTCAACCCCCTCCTCGCATACCACTAATGCTAACACAGTAATTTATAAGATATTTAACACACCATGCATTACCACTTGTGCTGACATCATCTATAGAAACAGATGAGGGAGGGTGTTTCTATTGTGACAGATGCCAGCTGCATTGAGTTAATGCTAGAGGAGATCGGAGCTAATGCATACACGGCTACTACAAGGTGAGAACCATAGTCCCAACATGCTAGAGGGGTCCTGCGGGGTCCTGTGCTAACAGGGTTAACGAGATAAAGAATGAATCGTCTCGATTGTAGGAGAAACGTATCTGACACTAAGCAACAGGTAACATGTCCTTGATGGAGGGGAAGGGTGAGTAAAAGGAAACCAGGGAGATGAAAAGATAAAGAATCAGGCATTTCCTTCAACCAGGGGACCAGTTTGTGCAACAGTCTCAAGTGTTCATCTACTGTCAGTTTTTAGTTTTGCCTGGTTCAAACCTGTGCTTGGGTATAAATAAGCTTTAACAGTCTAACCCCAGTTTTGGAACTGCATGAATTTATGTTTTCAATAATTAAATACGTACAAATACAATAATTGGTATTTACTACAGCAACATTATGACACCCATTTGGTTGCAAATTTTTTAAAGTATCATTCTTGGTCTTTTTCTCACTTTTGATTAGGGCTCCATGCAAGTAAAGAATATAGTATATTAATTTCCAAGATGCACTGTTAATATTTTACTTGTGAACACAATTACTCTAATCGCGCAGGCAGCTTGCAATATACCACTGATGTTTTCAGAGGGATTATCCCATTTTCTGTCATGACATGATTCTTATCTTTTCAAGGGCAATACCACAAAGCATGCACAGAGAAAGATTAAAACTTTCAAGTACTCTTTACAGACAACTGCCTAAGCTAGCCTTTAATATAGCTATCTTAGCATGAATATGAGTTGTATAGCTTTGAAACATAAATGACCGTGATAATATTGAGAAAGTTTTAAAAATCTATTAAAATAATCAAACGTCAGTGTTTGGTTCGTTACCACTGCTCTGCAATAAAGCCTGCACAAGGCCAAGGGCAGAGGCATTTTGGTGGACTCCAGGTGTAGATGTAATCGACGGTGTTTCAGTAGCACTGAAGGGGGTAGTTTTGGGGGGTTTCTTCAGTTTTTATCTTTTAAGTGAGAAGGTAGGGAAAAAGCAACACATCGGTGCAGTGCTGGCTGAGACCACCCCATGCCAACCCTAAATAACCCTCTAGGAATTTAGAAGGACAGCTGGCAAGATCTCAGTTCCTGTGCTAGGACATCTCGGGAGGTGAGCTACCTCCAGCGACGAGATTTGGGTTGGGCCCACTGTGTGCCACCCTCCACACTGCCTGGTGGCTGGGACTTTTAGCGGAAATCTGCTATAAGAAGAGAACTTGCCTAATCTGCGCGCAGGATGTGCGGTATGTCCGCCCTGAGCTCCACCCGTGCAGTCTGGGATGCTCGGACAGGGAGCTGGGAGCACAGAGCACAAGGCTCCTACAGATCGACTGCTTTGACACTGTGTCTGATTTTCCAGGCCATAATCTAAAGCTTACATTGAAAATATCTTTCTTTAGTTGGTCACAATATTGTTCAGGCTGTAAGGATGGCTTTGGAGCCTTAATTGCTCTCTGGGGCCTCCACCAACATGAATAAAAACTGTTGCAGGGTGTTTCTCTTTGTTAAACTGTTTCATCAAAATCAAGACAAAAATTATTATCTGGGAGACGTAGAGCTTGCATTAAATAAAATTCACTTTTAGATCTACATCTGGTCCACAGAAATTGGTTGACTGGCATGGAAATTGGTTCATCTTCTCTTTTGGACAAAACTCTTTGCTGAGACACATAATGTCGCGTTATAAGCTCTGTGGTTCGTAGGTTGTTCAGACCATGTCCCATTGTTGGCAGCTATTTTGTAAAGCAAGATACTTGCTCAAACTCTCAGTGGGAGTAAGACAAATTTTCAAGGTTTATACAAAAAACCCCTCAAAATACACATGCCAGAAATTCACTAGTGTCTCATTCAGAAAATGTCTAATTAACCGTATCACTCTTTAAAGTTTTATATAATGCACAGAAACAAACAATACATATCCATGCCAAGATTACTTTAAATTTAAATGAGATCTAATTTGAACTGAATACACACTCAGAATCATAAATAGCAGCCATCCATGACGGTGCAGAAAAGCTAGGCATTTGTGGGATGCCTAGTGGGATGTTAACTGGTAGATTTGGTACTTTAGGGAGATTCACATTTGGTAGATTCACATTGGGCAGATTACTTGTTAAACTCCTGTGGAAGAAACAGACAGAAAGAAAAAATACCATAACAGTGACAATGCAGATGTAGCAGAAGCACATGACACTCATAAACAAATCTGCAAAGTTCACAGCACGACAACAGTTAAAAAACTAAAGGAAAACATTTCAGAAAGAAGCATGAGTATGGAAGCTTAAGTGTACTGGGTTTGCTGTCTGCAATAAAAAGCAAGTTACTTAAAAAAAAACCCAAACAACAGAATGAAAAGAAGAATCACAAAGTAGCAGATTAACAGAGTACTCAAACACCCACAGAAAATAACTCCACCTGCAAGTCCTGATACCATTTCAAAGTGCAGAGACCAGCCTTTCCTCGGAAAAATCTCTCTCAAGGAAGTGAGCCTCAGTTCTTACCCACCCGGGTTGGATGAAAGAAACTAAGAGATCTACTAGGGAATTGAGATTCAAAATAATAAACCAAGAGTTTGACACTCCAGCTCTGCAGAAGTCCGTAAGAGTTTTTCTTGCCACCAAATTCAGGAGTCGGGATTACACTCCAAAACCTCTCTGTTTATTTTGTACTCTACAAAAAATGAAGATGTGCTAAGCCGGAGCAATGAAACGGTGAACCACAAGGTTCTTCCTTTGCGAAAACTCATGCCTTGGTCCTGCCCCGGTGTTCCTGGGTGCGGAGAAAATGGGTCCCGCAGGTTGCCCAGCTCTACATGTGCACTCAGATGAATTGCACTTAATGAATCCAGGACTGGTATATGAACGTTTCTTGGCTGGAAATGGGCCATGGGGTGATTAAGACATTCAAAGGTTAATTTATCAAGCATGTCTACTTGGGCGTCATGCCTTCAATAAATATTTTCAGGCATGTAACTGTTAGGTAAATAGGATCTTTTAAAAACCAGCCAGTGTATTAATTTAGTGCAATATACTCTCCTGAAGCAATGTGTGGTGTAGCTGCACCGCATGCCCAGAGTTTGCAAAACACTCTGACGTATTTTAGTGTGATAGGTCTCTAGATGTTACAATTGGTCTAATTCTATTTTAATGAGTATCCTATCACAGTTAAATTTTATGCAAAATAAAAATGTCATGAGATTTGGGAATCAGAAGCCATTTTTGGAAGCGCATCTTGTTTCTGCCTTCATCTAGTAATACTATATGGCACACTGGGACACAATCCACAGATGGTTTTACAGTCCCATTTGAGGAATAAAACGAGATGCTTTGACACCTTTTCCACCGGATGATTGTTTGGGCTCAGTGAAAATGGAATCAGGACTTTGGGACTTCAGGTTCACCCTGCTCTGCTGAAGGTACTGAAAGCTTTTCTATCGATGTGCACGAGCACAGCTTCAGCGGTCAAACTTCCCTGCGCTCAGTGACCGCACCAGGACACGCCACGTTAGGAGGTCTCTCCCATTCCCCTGGATTAAATTAGTTACTGTACAGCAGCAGCATCTGGACTCTTGGAAAACTATCAAATGACACGCTATGCCTCTCAAGGAATATTAAAATATTAGCAACTTCCTTGAGTCATATTTTGAAGTCCGTTTCTTACTGCAAGTTTTACATATCAAAAAACAAAGCAATGGCATTGAGCTGGCTATAATGAATAAATATTTCCTAACGCCACAGAAGATTTGAACCACATCTCTGCAAGAGCTCAGCTCGTTATTGGTGGCTAGTCTTAGGGAGTAGACTTTATCCTCATTCTCCCTCTGTGAATAAAATCCCTTGTTGGGGAGGAAAACAACAATCCAAAGTATTTTTCTAGTGAAAAAAAGAAGTATGTTCTTGTTTTCTTTTGTTTCTATGATTCTTAGTACCGATTTGACTTCACACTATCTGCTATCTTCGTTAGGCAGTAAGCAGATACGAGAATTTACTAACGGAACAAAGCTGTCCATTGTTTCCATTCATACTGTATCTGCTATTAAGAAGATACGATTATTGAATGGGACACAAACTCCATAGTGATTGAGAGAGTGTTAAATCTTCAGAAATGGCAGTGCATGTGGTTAGATACCGATATGGAATAAATAAAGAAATAGCAAGAGGTGGACAACATATAAATGTATAAGGAAAAGCAACTTAAATAACTTAGCCAGATGGTAAATACATAAATCAGAGGACCTTTGGTTTTAATATTAAAATTCAAGAAGTGACAGTGTTATATTAATAAAAACACTGTATTAATAAAATATGACTTCTAGAGTAAACAGTATACTATATTCACACGGAAACATATTTCTTTTATACAACACATTATTTTGCTGATGCAAGGATATGTTGCAAGAATAAGTTAGTACTCTTAAAACAAAACAAAACAGCAAAATAATGGAGTATATTATGTTAACATACAGTAACTAATTTTAAAAATATTCTCCTGAATTGACATGCACAGTTTTGCAGGTTCATCCAATCTAATTATCTGACTAACAGTTGCAGTGAGACCTGTAAAAAATGATTAATATTACCAACAAATGTTCCAGCCTGCAGTTGCTCAGACCATAAAACTACAGGTCCAAGATGAGAAACTGTTTCTAGAAGCCAGCCATGCCTATTTAATATAGATGGCTAAATATAACCTCAGCCATCAGGCAGGGAATGTGGGCATTTGCATCAACAAGATGAGGGCTGTCTGATTTCAGACGACTCAGCTTCAGGACTGGCTCCTGATACATTGGATAAAAGACGCACACTCTGGAGCTGTACTGCTTGTTTTCTTGGCTTCCGATTCACCCCCCATTTGTGTTTGTCGGTTGTGTAAATGGCTTTCACCTGGATTGTCTGCTGGGAAATTCTCAGTGCAAACAGACTGGCAACATACCCCTGGACAACATCCTAATGCTCACACTCTACCGTAGCACCGACCACAGAAAACAAGTCCAATCGCACAGGGGCTGCTCCTGTAGAGCTGCCCCGGTACTGAAAGGAGGGCAGAAAAATCACAGCGGTTTTACTGCGTTGTCTCCTGGTTTCAGAATAGAGCTGAACAAGAGCCTTGTCCATACTTAAAGGCTCAGTTCCTACAGGATGCCTGAAACGATTTAGTGATGGAAGACACAAACGCCTGTCTCTTCCATCACTATAAACACTTACTACCTTACTGCCTAGGCTGAGCAAATCTTTTCACAAAAGCCTTGATGTGAAGCAAAGAGCTTGATAGTGATGTAGGCAGTCAAATCTGTGCTCTTCCTGTGACTGACACCCAGAATAGCAACAAAAATGCTCATTTTCACTACAACGGTGCTTCTTTTAGAGGGAAACATTTTTTCACTAGCGTTTTGTAGTAGCACAACCTTATAAAATGATTAGTATAATCATACAGCTCAAGTTCTTACATTTATATTAATGATACATTTATGAATAGTTTGCAAAGGGTTAGTGAGCAATTAATAGATGCTAAAGCTAGGACTACAGTGTGGTAGAGACAGCCATAGGTCAATGAGTAACGTCCTAGTCAAGCGATTGAACTGCTGGTTGTCATTGCACCAGCTTTAGCATTTGCTCAGAAAGATCTTTCAACACAGACACACACACACAGAGACACACACACACACGTACGTTCTGCTGGCTGCAAGATAAATCAGCGTTCTCCGAGAAGCTAGCATGAAAAAAAACCCCATTGCAAACCCTACTTTTCCAAGACCTCTCAACTCACCAGAGAACAGACCTACTCTGTATCCTCCGTATTTGGATGACTGTGCGAAGGACAAGCGTTCCACATTTCTCTGCGTGGATTCATACAAGCACACCAGCTGCTCTAGCTATAGGGCACGGACCCCCTGCAAATTCAGCAGCTCTGCAGAGGCAGATTACATAGCCCTCATGAGCACATTACATCAATGCTTTTTCCCCCCATGTTTCCAATGCTTAACAGTATCTCTCTCACTGTTTGTGATTTCTATACCTAACTCCTTGTAGCATAAGGTGCAGAGTATTCAGCAATGAAAATAGAAGAAATACATGCTTGCAAACTGCCATCTGGTCAGGTTATGGAGGGCTACATATTTCAGCCTTGATTGCAAGCACGAGCATAGAGAAACCCTTTCAAAAGACTCTAGGTTGTGAAATAATTTCTTGGTTAACAGGAAATAATGAGATTTCCTTCTTACAATTCACTGCAGAGATCCAAAGCAGGACAACAGTAAGCTCGGTGGTACGGACAGCCACGATGATCTACCTTTTCTGATCAACCTGAAGGCCTTTCTTCAAAGCAGAGGAAAGCCATGGAAAAACATACTGCAGTGTTCCCAGTTCTCAAAAAGCTCTGCTGGAGAGGCGGCAATGGAAGGCCACGACTTGGATGGGAATTGGCTTGTCCAAACTATTTGAGAATCAATGGCGAAAAATTCAGCTGTGCTGCAGTATGGACACGTGGCGGGAGGAGGCAGTAGAGTAGATACAGGATGGCAAATCAAACCAAGTCAGTCTCTGACCTGAGCTCTGCTGCAAGTTCACTGTCGATCAGACAAAGAGGAGCAGGTGGTCTGCCCAGGAGGCAAAAGATGAAGATGCCTTAACATTTAGTTCTGCACAGCGCAGCCGAACTGTCATAAGATCCTAGGAATGACACCCCTCTTCTCCCTTACACAGTACGTGCCACCCTCTGTGCGCTCGCTGGTACCTTCCTTCGCCGGGTCACATCGCGTGAAGCCAGCATTTGCAACTCGCACTCTTGTGTGCGAGACACAAGAACAAAATACCAACTAGTGAAAAAAAAACCAACCCCGGAGTGCATCTTTTCACCAGATGGACACAAGCTTCTTGTGAAAAGCACCCACTTTCCTGCTGGAAGAAATCTTTTAAATACCCAAGTCTGTAAGACAGATAGTGCATCCTGGGCTTTTGCTTGAAACTGCAACGTTCAAAGCACTCTGTAACTGGAACTCCAGAAGGGATAATCATTACGAGAGAACTAAGAAAAAGTCTTTTATAACTATCAAACATAACTTGAAAATGATAGATAACAGCATACCCAGGGATAAAGCATTTTGACAGGCAAGTACCACAGCCAAGTACTTACGGACATCTATAGTTAAGCCACAAATGAAATTAAAAGCCAAAATGATGACAGCTTCTGACAAAAGAAAAAAAGCAGAATGAATTCCTTATTGACTGCTTGTCTGAGGTGGACAGGTACACAGAGTAACTGCCTCTGTGTCATAACAGACCAGGAAATACAAACATATTCATTACTAAAGCAGAGCTCTGAAACTAAAGTTAATGCTAACTTCGAAGTGCAATTCTGCTTGAAGGAGTGGCTGTAAAAATGGCATTCTCCTACTCGAAAGATCTATTTCTTGTATGTTTTCTGGGTCACATCTGCTTATTTGAAACAAGATTTTTTAGGATTTTTAATCCTGTTAGCCTGCAGACCAAAGGCAGCAAATGGAAAGTGAGAGAAACTCCTGAATGCCAGCCACTTAACCCCACTCGAAACAGAGGGGATGATCAGGTGTTAAGAAAAGGCCTGAGATTTGGCAGGCAGAATCCTTACGGATGCTGAGGATGCACAAGAAAGAAGGGAAAAAACCTGGGTACTCAGACTCCAGGTTGCATATGGGAGGCTGGCTGCCGAACAAAATCTCTTTTCCTTGTAAACGGAACATATTTGGTGTGAAAAGCCCTGAAAGACCACACGTTCTTTTATACAGCAACCTCTGACAGTGCAGTGCCACTTAACTGTGCCTAGAGAATCACAAAAAAAGCAGGGAAAATAGTCTCTCTAGAAGTGACCTGGTCCCAATCCTCTGTCTGAGGCACTGCCAGACTCATGTTGTTTGCAACGGGTCGATCTTTCTCTTTGAATACCTTTATCAGAAGGAAAAATCAGTTCTTTTCCTTCGTAGGATCTGACTTGGCTCTTTAGAGCAAGCATGACAGGGTTCAGCAATGCTTCAAAACCTGTGAAATAACAGCAGTAATCCAAAGCACATGCCACATTTTTATCATTCACCAGCTCTTGACTTCAGTTTGGGTTTCTCTCAGGCTACTGATTTCTTCCTGGTAAATTCCTAGTTCTCCAAATTTAATAATCGATTCTGCTTGAATCATCTTGCCCGTGTGTCACTATGGTTTCTGCATGCCTAATCCTACCGGCAAGGGAGCTGGGACCTGGCAGAGCTGCCCTGGGATGCGGGGACACGTGCAGCCCTCGGCCGCAGGGCTGATGTGAGAAGCGCAACGCTGCACTATTCCTCCACGGGGCGGGTGGAAAAAACGAGTATCGGGCAGAATAAGTTCAGCAATGACTCACACAGGTTATAGGGCTGGACTGAACACAGTGAAGCAAGGGGTTTTGTTCTGAAAAGGAGCTATTTAAGTTCAAAAGCAGCATTGGAAAAGGCCTTTTAGAATGGGATCCAAAAAGCCATGCCAGCTAAGAAGGTTTTCACATTTTCATGCTTCCATGTCCAAAGGCACACGGTTCAAACTGAGGCAGCAATGCATTTCAAAAAGCAAATACCATTTCCCTCATTAACTTGAAAACCCTGAGATCAAGCCTTCTATTTTCAGCATTAAACTAGAAAATCTAAAGCACTTTCTGCATGTCCGGTCTACTGTTTGCTAATTCAACTCTGTATGAATCTCCATCCATTTGCACCCAAATTCCGATTGTATCAAAGGAGGTTTCCTTACTTTACTGGCTCCCATGACTCCCGCTCAAAGCCCCTGTGAATTGACTGTGCAATTGAGGACTCCATCAGATCGACATATCTAACAACAAGTGGAGCAAACAGGTCTTGGAGGTGTTTGTGGAATTTTCCATTGCACAAATTATCTAGAATAGATAAATAAAAGTATAGTAAGACACTACTGTTACTAAAACCTCTGTAACAAACCACAGCGTGGCACTTCATTACACAATGAATTTGTCAGCGAACAGGAAGAAACTTCAAGAACATAACAGGAGCTGGCATCGGGCACCAATGTTCATGACAAAGACAGCAGGAGTGGCTTCTTACTCCAAACAAATAAACAGACAACGAGTCTTCTTTCCCATTAATGTCAAACTTACGAATACATTATTACTTCCTGCGAATAAAACGGATGTAAGAAATACAGCATGGCAAAACATTATGGCTTTTTCAGGTAGGAGAATTATTTCCTCTTTGGTTACTCACTACCATGATGCTAGAAATCGCTCTCTGATGGTGACTCCCTGGCTTTTTTATGTAGTCGTAGCAAGCTCAGTGGGGCCCTGGTCTGGGACCTAGCTGAAGGCAATGCCGATTCTGCCACCAGCTCCCAGGGAGCGGCAGGACCGCTGGGGATAGTGCCAAATCCTCACGGGCTTTGAAGGCATGGGGCCACGTGCTTTGGAGAAGAGCTTTATTTCACAAAGCACTATTCTTCTGAACTACTCCTGCTTCTCTTTAATGTTTTCCTCCCTTCAATCAAATCTTTTAAAGCAGGGACCGTTTTACTCCATGTTAAATAAATGCAGTACACACATATAAAACGACACACACATTTAATGACAGTGAGATAGAATACCTAATTCCCTGCTTATCAGGCAGTCTTTACCAAGGCACTTGAGAAGATGAAGCAAAATAAAAGTTCAACTTCTCACCTTCAGCTGAAGCATTTGATTTAAGGAGCGTCTGTGTGCTTTTTTCCTAGTGGAAATGGAACAAAATCTAGCTGATGCCTAAAGAGTATGTACTATAAACCTCTACCCATCTCAGTTCTCTGTGCAGTACGGAGAGGCTGAAAGTATTATCAGTAACCTGAGCCGCCCACTGAAAAAGAAACGATCGAAATACAATACATACAGTCACTACGGAGGGAATCGTTTAGAAGCTGAAAGAGCGGAAAGCTGTCCCAGGTGTCTGGGGGTTGCACCTCTAACGCAGCATCCATATCCACTGCAAACAGTGACAGGAAGGTCTCCGCATGCTCAACCATTAAGTCTGACCACCAAGCAAAGGCCTTCAGAGTTGGTAGAAAAAGATAATAAAAAAGTATATTAGTTCTAAT